CTGTACGGGACTCGAACCACTGACCTCTGCGATACTAGTGCAGCGCTCTACCAATTGAGCTAACAAGCCAACTGGGAGCAGTTAGCTTGTTAACTCTAATTCCGTACAGGCCTGATGTTTTTCAGGTCTGATTTTCGCTATTGCATAAATAGCGCTATCTACTGCGAGGATCGTGCATCATACGTATCAAATACCGCAGTTCAAAATATATGAACTTCATATATTTATTCTATCTCAAGCTTAGCTTAGGCCTCTTTTATCATCATAAGATGGTTTTCAAGGAAAACAAAATTAGCTGAGTTTTCATAATTCGGCACAAACGCTCGAAGAACCTGAATGACAAGCCTATTGATACAGTTATCGTCCTTGCAATTAACAGAGAAAAAAAACCTTATTGGCTGATAAGGATTAAGATGGCTATTGACAGTTGCACAGGAAAGCTTCTCAGCTGAAATTTTTCTCATACTATTCACAGAGTGTGTTGAAGGTGAGGAAACGCATCACGTTGATGGTCATAACAATCAATGTCATATCTCCAGTTTTTTGGGAGCAGAGTCAGTAGAATACGTCTTAAGATTTCTCACGAATCTGAAAATCAGCTTCGTCCACATAGCCACCGTTGACATGATGGTGTTGGTTCAATTCAGCTGTGAACCCCTTTGTTTATTCCCTCCTAAACCATCAGTTCAGAAAGAAGATCAAGGGAGTAATGCGTTGCACGAGTCCTATGGTGATAGTCAAGCCTCGGAGCGGGACTGGCACTGATGAGGAAGGTTTTGCTGACGATAATAAAGGATTTTAAAAAGTACAGCGCAGACCAAAAAAAGTAAGTATAACATACAGAAACTTCTTAAGTGAGTTACTTCCTCCCGTTCACCTTTTACAGTAAGGTTTCGAAATAATTTCTTTCTAGGAATCAAGACCATATCTCGAAGCATAGTTAGTAGAGTCCCCTCTACTAACTATGCTCGAAGGCTCTTAGTTGCCCATCAAAAGCCATAATGAAATCTGGACTATAAGATCCTCCGAGACTTGGTGGACGCCCTGTATCAAAATATTTACTATAATAACAAAACCAGTAAGTGCGGATTTCTCCATTCAAGGTGGAGGCGAATATCAGAATGAAGCCCTTCTGTTGATGATACAAAGTAAGACAGTCAGATGTGTCACTCACACATTTTCAGCCACAAAATTCAAAAGGCAAGATGTAGCCACTCTGTCTGCAACCATATCTATTAGAATCTTATGAAGTTCGTTAGAAGTCTCTCATAAACAGAGCCTTTAGAAGGGAATCAAAATGGTTAAATTTAACTAACCAATAGGATAGCATTAATTAGTTAATTTGGTTAGGCAGGGGACGTTAAAGAACCCACTCACGAGATTACTGTGATGTGGTCTGGCCTGTTTACTGGGAATTGGGGGGAAGGGAGCGTCTTCAAATAAGTTTCCTTCGATTGTTTGTAAACTGCTGATGCAGTCCGGCCAAAGTTCCCCGAAAAGCGTTGTGATGCGCATTTGATCATATCCACATGTTAATTTGCGCCATATAATTAATAAATTATTATAAATATTAAATTATTGTTATTATTATTATTATTGTTATTATAGCAACTGACTCTTAGAGTGAGAATCTAATCTTGTTTTCTTTACGTTAAGTACTAAAAACCTGTAATCTATTGATTGAAACTAGGAAGGGTTTCAAAAGTGTTCCTCTGAAATTTACTTTGGCTTCTGTTCTCTTTTTTCAAGTTTACTTTCTTGATATGTCGATGTTTTTGTACGTATGGCTCTCTTTCTTTAACTTCCTTGTTGTTTTACACGAAACATCTATGAAATTAATGCGAAATGGATATTTATTTACTAATTGGTCATAATATTAAAGTAGGAACACCCTACCTGATAACTGATATGCGCCTTACGAAGTCATTTGTCTGAGTAAATTTTTTTTGAAACGACTCCCTTTCAATTCAAACAGGTGAGACTTTCTGAGTTATCTTTTAAAATATGGGTAAAAATGGTTCGGTAATGTGGTAAAGTTTAAATTCTAGGAATGGTCATAAGTGGGTTATTATCGGTAAATAGAAAATAGATCAGCTGTATTTGCCAGCAGCAAAGGGGAACGATTGTACAAAACTCAATAAAAACTTAACACGTGTCGAATTCAATAACACTTTATGGGACAAAGCCTCTTTTTGGTGAATCATATCTTGAACTGTTCCCTTTTGTAATTGAAGGGGTTATAATTTTAATTGTAACTGATCATTCTCCAGTGGTACCAAAAACTTATGAATAGTCAGGTCAAGGCGAAGATAAAACGGATGATGATCTGTGATAATCCCACAATGCCACGGATTCATGCCACTGAAAACCCCAGATGATTCAACTTAACAACCAACCAACAACATCGAAAATCATATAATCAATCCACTAAAATGTTTCTTTGAAGGAAAATGGCGTCATGCCAAAAAGGATAAAAGTCAGAGCTCCACTGATCCATATTTAGCACAGCATTCGATCTGGCAATTCTTGGTTTTGTAGGCTACTTTCCCTCTTGTTCCCTCGAATCCCCGTTTAATTTCAAAGCAGCACGAGATAATGTAATTTAGATGTAACTTAATAAAGAAGACTAAGACTACCATGTCCTAAAAACATATTATACGCCATAGGGATTCGTTAATTTTCTTTACTCTCATGCCGGAGGAATATCTCTTATCAAAGGGTCATCTCCGAGGGAAAGATCTTTGACTTTTTGAATGCTGGACGGCTGATTATTTTCAACACAATTTTGTCAACACGACAAGGGAGTGATTTGAGAACGTGTGCTACACGTGTACCACCCAGTTTACAATCCGCTGACTTACATTCATGGCCATTCAATGACCAAATGAGTCATACACGAGTCTTGGGCGTGGCCATAATAACCCTTCTAACCAAACAGTATAATGTTGAGAAGGTTGAGAGGGTAGGTTAGGAGAAGGGATTGAGGGATGAAAAAATCAACAAAGATAAACTGTGATGGTGAGATCGACAAGTAAATGTCAAGATTCTCACATTTCCGGTGATCTATATTCCAAGTTCTTTCCCAAATAAACTTTGCTCTCGATTAATGTGGCTTCACAAAGAAAGAGAAACTAACAAACAAAAAGCAAATACTGACAACCAGAGATAAGTTTATTGACATTACTAAAATGAATGTGGAATTCAGGGAAATTGATTGTTTTTTTCTCTAGCCGATACAACTGAACAATTTATTTTAACCATTAATGCATTCGCTAGCAAAGAAAGTTTTTAAGATCTTTCTATTTGTTACTGTGCACAAATGTTCTCAACTACATAAAAAATTTGAGTGTTCTCCTCCACCAAATGTCGTAAATGTTGTCATTGACAAAGAATAACAATTTAAGAAATAAATTAAGCTTTGCGTAAACTTGAACGAGCCATCACCTTGATAGAAACAACCGCTCTTCAGTACCCTGAGTAACGGGAGAAGGAGCCAGCACCGAAATAATTCATTCTGACAACTGTAAAGAGGACTGAAATTCGTTTTGAATATTTCATTCTTATCTATGACATGTTTTTATTTGCTACCCCCCTCCCTCCCCCTGTATATATCCCGGCCACATCTACAAGTTGGTTTTAATTCGTTTTCATTTTTCAGCATACCGCTAGAGGTGAAGCTGAATGCTTTTCAATTGACCGGTAACCCAGAAACTGATGTAAATTACTCACAAATGGCGAACTCTAATGACAGTCACCAGTGGACGCCATACGTCGGTAAAATAGTGCGTCAGTAAAATAGTCTTTTCGTAGATAATTTGTAAATGAGGCTAATTGCAGCAAAAATACAATCTACTTCATGCAGGTGAAAATTCAGTCGGCCCAAAAGGCGGAAAAACAAAGATACGTTGGCTCTACAGTAAATGAAAATCTGTTTTGATTTTGAGGCAACCAAAAGTGAATAACCTTTACAGTCAATTAAAAACAATTCTTCCACAAATAATTAATCAGTGAAACCAAACAGTTTTCTAACCCCCAAGACACTAAGGAGTCTGTTAATTCTCCGGATCTGTCTTTGCTAAGGTGTTATTGAACGTTTTGAAACATAAAATCAGTTGTATCATTTCCCTTCAGTTGAATCTCACGGAACGTTAAGTGTCATAAAGTTATGGACATCATGCGATAATTTTACTGAAGTAGCCACACTGTATCTAATGAGTGCTAGTGTTGGGCTTTGGTTTGTCATCCTTGGAGTTTAAAGAAACTGTAATGCGCTTAAGTTTAATGGGTTCTTGTATAATCTCGCAAAATGTACCATCAGTTAAAAATAATTTGGATATATCAACAAAGTTCAAATGGTAAATTGGCCACCGTAACGATTACAAAAGCTGACGTTTCGAGCGTTAGCCCTTCGTCGGAGCGAATAGAGGAATTGTGGGTTATGTGTGCTTTTAAAGGCAGAAAATGGAGCTACGTTATTGATGGGAACATGGCAACGATTCATTTTATTCCGACTCATTTCATTCCGATTCATTTCATTCCACTAATTTATTCGTGTTTTTCTCGTTGCCATGTTCCCACCAATAACGTAGCTCCATTTTCTGCCTTTAAAAGCACACATAACCCACGATTCCTCTATTCTCTCCGACGAAGGGCTAACGCTCGAAACGTCAGCTTTTGTAGTCGTTACAGTGGCCAATTTACCATTTCAACTTCGTTGATATATCCAAATTATTTCGTTACTCCCACCGACGCAGCCCCAAACAGTTTCTTTCGAAACTATCAGCCTTTATTCATCAGTTAAAAACCTTTGTGTTTAGCTACATCTTGCACTCTAACCCTTGCTGAACAGTTAAAGAAAGTACTACCGTGTGCACTTTACTGGATAAATGTGATGATCACTCGACCATGTTCATGGCTATTATAACAACATTCGTTCTGCTGATTTGTCCCATTGTTAAAAGATCCTCCCCCTCCACCACAAGATTTAGTGTTATTCCCACCTCCATTTCCTCCACAGTAACCACCACCGCCGCCAGCTCCTTTGTTTCTTCCACCGCCGCCACCTCCGAATCCGCCCCCATACTTTCCACCTTCTCCCCCCTGGAGATATCCTTTACCTACTTTTCCACGTGGTCTCTTCTTACCAGGTGCGGTCTTTCCATTACTCAAGAAGCCACCACCTCCACCACCTCCACCACCTATAATAATAAAAAAGTAATCAGTGATCTCTTATACAAAGCACCAACATAATTATTGACTCTACGCGATTCGCATTATTTTTAACCAAGCTTATTGCTCTATTTTTTGGATGTCTATTAAAATCTATTAAATCATCGAATATCGTAGTCATACAAAAGGTTAAGAGGAAAAATAAGTGTTCAAGTTCTGCATTTTATAGGAAAATTCATTACTTGACGAGGAAATTCCACATTAAATTACACGCAAAAGCGATATCGCCCGAATCACGAAGCGATCAGTGCGATATCGGTTTTTAAGTGCAATTTAACGCGGAATTCATGAGTCAAGTAGTGAATTTTTCTTAAATCGTATATTGAATGAAAAAAAAAAAAAAAAGGAATCACCATCACTTATAGTTGTAATGTTTACGTAGATGCGAGACAATATCACTTAGCCTCGTTTTCAACTCGCAATTCCGCGCTAAATACCCCGCTCCGTTAACCAATCAGAATGCGATATTTTATTCAATGATGCAATTCTGCAATTAATTAAACTAAACTAGCAAGCAGCACTCTGCGAATAATAGTTGTAAAAATTCTTCATTCTCCGACGCGTCTCGTCTAACTGTAATAGACTTCCTCATGGAGTTTTAAAAGTTAAAACACTAAACTCTTGTATATTACGGGGGCCAATGGCCATAAAGGCTTCGCTGGACTTAGGAACAGAAACAGGCGAAGTTGCAAAAAATTGGGAAATGTTTTAGGAAAGGTAGGAAAAATATTTTGGGAGCCACGGTTTTAGCTACTAGGTTTTAGTCACGGTGATGCTCCGCACTAGTCTAGTTTTAAGAAATTGTTCTATTTCATCCAAAATCACTGTTAGACCCTATTAGCTGATAAGAAGCTCTTGCCAATAGTCCTTTTTACAGTTGTGGGCTTCGTGGTCAAGCCTTTGAACAGGAGTAAGGCTAAGGGTGACCTTGTTATGATACAGATGTTGCTGCTTTTCAAATGCAAATTTCTTTGTTATCATGCTAACTAGACACAGGTCTCTATCACAACAGGCTCACCTTTAGCCTCACTCCTTTTCAAAGGCTTGGCCACCAAGGCCACAACTGTAAAAAGGACTATTGTTCCAATATTGTCTCATACAAGAGAAAAATTGAATGACGCGACAATAATGCATATTGACTGATCAGTGATGAGCAGTAAATAAATGAGTGGGATTTTTAGAAACTAAACTAACGAAACTCAGCTGAACTTTAGATATTCCAGGAGGCGCCACCAGAGATGTTGTCAACAAGAAAAGAAAAAATAATCAAAGTTAAGATTAATCATCTCAATACAGATCTGAGAAATTTTATTGCCGTCTTACTGTCCCGATAAATGAACATACTGATGGATTTTTCTTGTATCTCCGCTTACCTGACTTATGATCATCAGTGGTATTTCCTTTACGTCCACTGCTTCCTCCTGTCCCCAGTAGCGTGTTATATCCTGCACTCCCTGTTGTGTTAATGGACGCATCACATCCCAGATGTTGTTCTGACATTTTTCTAATCCCCCCTCCTCCTCCAGCTATGATCAAAGGTGTGTTGCTTCCTCTCACCACAAAAGTACCTCCACCGCCTCCGGCGGTTTTTTTGGTGTTGTTCTTCCTTCTTCTCCCTTTTTGACCAACAAGTACACGGATGATCTCATTTTTGCTCAAATTAAAGTTTCCAATCATCCTTGCCCCTCTTCCTCCGTTCTTGATGTCGCTGTCCTCATCGTACCCTCCTGAGGCTCCTATTGCCTCTATTCTGTATTCGCCAGTGCGTGGAACAGTCCACAGTTGAGTACCGTTGGACACCGTAACTTGTCCGTCATGATCCTGACCTGTGTAGTGACTACCGACTGCGTCTGGACCCTGAGATCCACTCTTACCCAGGTTTGTAAACACAGCTGTAAATTCTGTATAATAAACATGAAATAAAATGAGTTACGATTTTAGTTAGAAATTGTTAAAATTTTTTCTTCACCACTTCCAATGATGTCATTACTGTGGAGATGTTCTTATAGTAACGTGAATTATTGGATCACACTGGAACGGAAACGTCAGTCACTTGGAGTGTTTGAATTAGTTGTACTGTGCCATTTTTCGAAGCTTGCTCACCATTGTATTTTAAAAAGCAGAAATCTTTGATTTAGTTCTTATTAACCGAGCGGGAGGTCTGTACGGGACAATCTTGACCGAGGTCGCCAGTTCAGACCGAACGCAGTGAGGTCTCTACCAGCGACCGAGGTCAAGATTCTCCCATACAGACCGACCTAGCTCGGTTAATAAGATGTTTATTATATGGCTGTGTCTTATATGCCAATTTTTTATATTCTTTGTACATTTTTTTGGGAAAATCTAGACCGCTTTCAATTTTGATTTCAGCCAATGAAATTAGTGAATTCGGTAGTTCCCAGTCCTTGTGAGACACAGCCATATAATAAAGTCGGGTATTGACTGACTTCACTGCATTTGAGGATTACAGTCGATAATATGATATCGATTGCCAAACTGAAACAAAATTATGTTTTTGAATAGCCCCATGTTGCTTTCATAAACTGTAGAATTGAGCCGTCACTAATTTTTTTATTGGGAGATCTAAAAATCTTGGGAGAGGACAAAGTTTTCTTCCCATTCCCATACGTAGAGTCGTTTTACTCATCAAATTATTCAAGTTTGTTGTTCGGTGATGACAGGTGACAGTGAAAAGAAGAGAGTGAAGAAAGTAACTCCATATAACCAAAGCTGATAAGTCAATTGAATAATGCTCTGCAGAGTAATTTTCAAATGATTGGAATAAGTTATCCGGGATTGAATTGGCGTTGCCCTACTTCGCCCTGTTATTGGTCCATCCTCTTGGCCAATCAGAAGCTCAACGAAAGCCAATTAAGCAGCTCCAAAACGATTGAGATGACACACAGCAAAGAATATCCAAGCGCTTGTGTTTGAACAAGAAATGAAATAGTATCTGGCGTGAATTCCTCCTTTCAAGAGGTACCGCTCAAGCGATATCGTCATGCAAGCCTTACCTTGTACACAGCCGTACAGTTCAACCCTCATTGATATCCAATCCTGCCACTCTACTGGTTTAAAAAGAATGTAACGCGCTGTGATTGGTGGGTTAAGGTCGTGATAAACCACGGTATTCTGATCTGTGTTTCCATGAAAAACCTTTGAATTAACAACATAACGGCCTTTCAATTAAATATTTGATGAAGAGTAAATGATTATCAGTTGTTACGATGTAAAAAAAGTCCTCCAACTCATTCATACACCATTCTCCTAAGCGTTCCTCTCGGGACCTCGATATTTTATAATTATTACCAGCAGTGCGTATTGCAAAAACTGTGCTAATGATGATCAAAAAATGCTTCTTTTCCTGCGTATATTAAACGGAAATCACGCGATACACGAGAAATAAATTCTACCTTCGCTGTCTTTTGTCTTGGGATTGTATAATTGTAGAACCTTTCTGTATCGTTGCTGTACAGCAGATTGTACTTCGTAACCCACTCCCTCTGGTGTCCATCACTTCCTTGTGTTGCCACATGTGTCACTTTAGTGTGCAGAATAACCAGATCAACTTGAAGCCATAGATTCGCATCATTGCTTGCAGCTGCCCAAGATCCCGTTTTGTCAGAATGTACAAAATGAAGTCGGCCCTGATTGGCGGAGTGATTAGAGTCTCTCTCTGAGGAGGAACTTAACTGTTCTTCCGAGATTTCACCGCTTTGCATGCCGAGAAATCTTCCACATTCTGTTTATGAAAGGTAAACAGATATATCTGTTATCTACGGCAGCGAAATAAAAGCAGCTATGAGATCACGCAACATGGAAACAAGTGTAGTTTATATTAAGCTAAAAGATGTCCTTAACATAATTCCAGAAACTTTCAACGAAATGAAGAACCTTTAAGAGCTCCCATGATAAGATCAACTGTAGTGCGAAGTCCTTTACCGTCTCAAACTTATTGAAGGAAAACTGCTTATCCGCTTGTTGGAAATTTAAAAGCAATTTCTGGGACGCACCCAACAGTCATCGTCTTTGATAACTAATTACGCTTCTCATTTTTTTTCGGTGTGGCTGACTCAACTTTTAATTTTCAATTATCTTCACCTAGATTTTCTTCACCAAAGGATCTTTTATTTGCCACAGTACAAAACGGAATCAGTTGCTCAGTTTATCCAATTAGCCAGCTTAGATACAATGCTTATCAGCATTGGAAGAGTAATGTAGGGGGCCTGACTGGCAATTCCGTTGATGTCTGGGTCCGAGTGTCTCGGCCGAGGTTAATTTATTCATGTTGCATAGGTGTACGAGGGTGTTATTAGGGTTAAAATTAGGGTAGGTGTACGAGGGGGCTATTCGGCTTAAATTTCCTGTAGGTGTACGAGGGGTTTTTAGGGTTAGGGTTAAATTTCGTAAGAAGGGTGAATAAAAGCATCGTAACGGTTTTTCAAAAACAAAAGAATCCAAGATGACGGTCGGATTAAGTACAACATTTGGTTTTGCATATGATTTATTTGTTCACTCTGCACGATATTTGAGTTGTAAATAGATAACATAAGCTAGAAAAGCTGTCATCACGTCTTTGTATAATTGATGGAATGTAGAATGTTCTCCCACGTTAAAATCATAAGTTTCAATCTCGTCAATGTATCTTGTCACTTGTCTACGTGTTTCACAAGGATCTTGCGTGGTAGCTTTTTCTTTTATAATGGCAAATAATTCGTCTAGGATGGTTCCGGCCCACTGGGGATTGTGTTCAATCTCTTCGTCCAAATAGTTGTTTTTCAGATGACATGGTGTTTGAAATGAATGTAGAAATGTAAGAAGAAGTTATACATAATCGTAAAAATGTCACTCTGATTGACAAGCTGTCATCATGTCACTGTACAATAGGAAAGTAGATTGTTCTCCCACGTTGGAATCATAGGTTTATGGCAACTTCCGCACGGTCTGGGTCCGAGTGATTCGGTCAAGTGGGTTCTAATTAAATATTCATACAGCGTAGGTGCACGAGGGGGGTTTTAGGATTTATTCATGCGGCGTAGGTGCACGAGGGGTTTAGGGTTGTTGGGGTTTAGGGATGTTGGGGTTAGGGTTGTTGGGGTTAGGGTTGTTCGGGAGGTTAGGGTTAGATTTCACGTGGGTTCGTGTGTAGGGTTTTTTCGCATCTCATTTAAAAAAATAACGGTTTTCTCAAAACAATTGGAACAAAAGAATCCAAGATGGCGGAGGGGTTAACTCCAACACACTGTTTTCGCATACGTAATGTTTATTGTCACACAACACAGGGTAAAGAGAATGGACCCTATATTGCGCGTTTGGGTATGGCGGGTTAGACATACTAATCTAATCCACTTAGATTGTGAGAAGAAGTTGTATTTATAGGATTCCTAAAAGGTTTTCACACGCATGTGGTACAGCTTATTCAGGACGTATGACTTTTACGTTTAAAAAATGTAAGAGATGTATGATCATAAGACACAGGGCTTGACAAGCTGTCGAAGCGTTCGGGTAGACCTTGTCGCTATGAACTCTTGGTCAGTTTTATAATGTCTGACTTTTACGATTTCTCCTTAATTGCGGTCAATGCGACTGGTGTGTACTAAAAGAAGAAGAAATAGAGAGAGAAGCGTCTTGGCAGAACAATTTAAAAAGAATAAGAGCACTATAGAAACCAAAGTGGATAGACGAAATATGAGTGTTTATTGTGAATGATACCTAGTATCACGCAACTACCTTTACCGGTTCTAGGACAATAGAGTATCCACACTTGAAAATTAGAAGGAAATGTATGAGAGATGTAGGAAGGAAACACAAATTAAAGCGTTCAATAAATCCTGGTTTAGGGTTAAATTGCGTAGGTTATAGGAGTGTGATTTTTTTTTTCATAATTTGAAAAAATAAAGGCCATCTAAGATGGTGTAAGACAATAAAAATAATGAAACCTAAGAAGGTGTTTAATCCTCCCTTAGGGAAAATGATTTCAAGATAAAATGAATATTCAAAAAACCTTCATTTTAGAATAAAAGGAAAAAATTGTTTTGACCAGGATTTGAACCTGGTTTATTGCGGTCACTCACACGACCACACCCCTCACTCTCACCCTAAGCCCAATTCCCTAACCGACTTACTCCCATATTAAAATCAAAATAAAAACCCTAACAGTCAAACATCGAGTGAGACAAACAATGGAAACAATAAAACGCAAGATGGTGACTCATACTTCCAATGGTAAAAGTGATTTCAAGATGTCAGTAGCATTCGTATCGTGTAAAAAAAAATCGAGAATAAAAGAGGTTTGTTTCCGCCTAAACCCTACGATGGAATGTGAATAATTCATCCCACTCCAATAAAATGAAAATAGTTCGGATGGTGATCACTCAGTTCATGAGTATTCAAAATTCTCTGAAAATGAACAATGGGTCGTTCGAGGTAT